ATATTCCTTAAGGCAGCTCTCAGTACCACTTTCAAAGTTTTCCATTCAAGCTGAAGAGAGCATAGACTATATTAATAGGGAGACCCCCGTTACCTGCTGTTTAATAGACTGTCTATTCAAACTGTAGTGCAGGTTTGCTATGTGATTTTCAGACCAACCTTATTTCTTAGGTACTGATCCTGCCTTCTTTTCCTATGTCAAAAAATTTATTTACTTAGGTAGTATTATGGATGAGTCAAAGGAAAAAAGTGACTTTGTCCACCAATTCATCCAATTTTAGTATTTGACTTTCATGCACAAATATGAGATGAACAACTTTTCCTGGTTTGGAAGAAACAAAATTCTTCTGTTTGGAACAATCCCTTTGATAGCATTACTCTCCAAATATTATGAGAATTTATCTCATCATTGGTGTGTAAGAACTGTCTTGGGGGCCCTCCCTGGTGGCGCAGCGGGTTAAAGCACTGCACTGAGAATCTAAACCCACTTCCGCATGAGTTCGATTCCCGCCTGCCCTGGAGGAGATCCACATGGCATGGCAGACCTCTCCTGACCCGCCCACTGCTCCCCTCAGCAGTGTACTTCCTCGATCTGTCTGTTCTGCTCCCCACTCTGTCCCTGGTGAATCCTCTCACCCTCCACATCTCTGGCCTATACCCCAGTTCTGTATAAATAAATAAATAAATCTTTAAAAAAAAAAAAAAAGAACTGTCTTGGAGTACTAGAAAGACTTGTCATAAATTATTCATATTTCACATGGCCCTAAAGAACAGACCTAAGATAAAAATAAGTGGAAGTGTAGGGAGAAAAATATCAGTTTCATTTAACAAAGAGCTTTTAAACTTTCAGAACTAGTTATGATGGACGATGCTCTTGTGGTAGGTGGTGTTATTTTGTTACCTTCGTATGCTTCAGTGTTTTAACAAGGATGGGGCTGAAATCTCAGTACTACTCTGTGCCCCCTTACACCAAATTATTTTAGCCTGGAATAAAGAATACTTAACCTGAAGACATCACTCATCCATATCAAGTCGCAGGCTCCCATCTGCAGGCCCTGGGAAGCTTCTCTGTGCTCACACTGACCTAAGAGCACAGCTTCCATCTGGTCTACTATGTGGTCTATTGTAACAATCTGGAACTCAAAGTGAAGTATACTAGGAGGATCACTTTTTGTCTAATATTGCTATTTTGTTCTAAACTTAAATGCAAAGGACTTCAAGTATTCTTTTCAAAACAGTGACTGTCACAAAATTTGGAGAGAAGTATGTTTAAACAACCTTTTATGGAACTGGAAAAACTGTAATAAGCTTCAACAAAATGACTGAGAGATTAAAAATGGGTCTTACATAAACACTGAGCATATTAGATGCTCAGTGACCAAAATTTTGTGAACCATAACATTTAGTAAGGTAGATATTACATTCTTTATAATATTCTAGAATATTAGATTGTGTTACTTTATGTAGCTTGAGAAAGATAAAGTTGCAACAATATTTGGCTGTCTTAACAAAAACTTACATTTTGACCTTCTTTTCCTTTGCTATGCTACCTATTTTTCCAGGAATCATCCAAAGAAATAAAGTTGTTTTCCTTTTCACATTCATACAATTACTCTATTTAAGAAAAAAAATAGCAATTTTCCAAATGTCCAAATATAATAGAAAAAAATCAATTAATAAAATATTTTAAAGGTAATGGAAAATTAGCCTTTTGATACCTTCAAATTTCTCCAACTTTCATTCAGGGTTCCTCTCATTTCTAAAGCCTCTGTTCTAAATGAAATCTCTAGGTCATATAGATGAAGAATGTAATTTCCAGCAAAATTTTCATTCTCTCAAAATTGAATGAAACAATTAGGATGATTCTTGGAACTCTCACTGAAACGAGTTTATATATATCAAGTTTTGAGCTTCAGCTTATCACTGTGCAGTCAGGAAGGAGAGTAAAACTCTTGAGACACTTTCCTTCATGTACAGGGACATGTGATTGATGGGTTAGATTTGAAATACACTGAAAACATTTTCTATGACTCAGACTTTAAATTCTGCTAACCTAGCCAACAGTCATATAAGACTCTTTTCACAGCATCAAACATGAGGTAACATGTGTTTGGTATGCTTTTCTGATTGTTATAGGTCACTTGTCACCATGAGAGGAAATGTAACTGACAAGAACTAAGTGTCTCAAGGGCATATAAAAATATTTTCGTAACGTACTTAACATAATTTCTTAAATATTGATTTTTTTACAATGAAAGAACAAAGCAATGAATGAATGAAATGAAGAAAAAATTCAGGAAGTTAATACTGGAAATTAAAAATGTGTTCTACCTACATGTGTGTAGAGGTACCAGTATATGCAATTTTTACTTGTCAAACTATTCTCAAAAATGATTGCATAACTCTGCTTACAGTGTTCCATTTAAAGCTACTTAGAAAACCATGACCTCTGAAAATCTGTAGGTTTATCTGATGCCTTTTTGATGTTATTTTATAAGAGATATTTACTTCACATTGATATTTAAAATTCTTTATGTTGCACACAGCTATGATCATGTTTCTAAGCAATATTTGCTTCTCGTGATTAAGTATAATATTTTAAGAATACTCTTCATGAGACTAAAGACCAGTAAGACATATTCTTAGTATTTGCCTTCTTTTTTTCCAAATATTTTCAAAATAAATGTCAATAAACATTTTCAAACACAGCAAAACGAATTAGATTTCCATAGATGGCGGGAATCAGCTCAGGTAAAACTACCTTAGAACATACTTTTGAAAGAAACATAATCTTACTCAAATAACTCACGAAAATACAGTGCATTGAAGGGATAGACTCAAATGATTTAATGGACTCTGAGGTTAACTTCAACTACTGGTATCAGGAGTAGAAAGCACCAAGCAGCCTTAGGGACCACAGTTGTAGACATTTATTTGAGATTTCTGTCTCTTGCGATTCAACATAAATATTAGTCAATGAATCTGAATAACTTGTGCCAGATTATTTATGAATTGGCTCCTTCAGGGTAGGGTCTACCTTTGATCAAATAAGGGCGGTTGGGTATGTTGAACATAAAGAGCATATTTTCTCAGAAAGTATGTGGAAAAGGCAAAATATATAGCACACATAAAACTTTTTCATTTATATGTGGTAAAAAATATATTGAGAAATCTCCCTGACATCTAATTCTGGAACTATATTCTCAATAGTTTTTCCAAAACTGGATATCATTGAAATTTTAATATAATAACTGTAATGAAGAAAGAGTATCAGCAGTTCAATTTCCAACATTTGGGCCCCAAAAGGAGTTTCTGTTCTGTTTGTTCACTCAGGTATCATTTCTTAGAATGGCACCACCTGACTGCCTTTCTCTGCACATAAACAATATTCCTCAGTACTAATTAAAGGATTCAGCTAACATCTGTAGTCTCCCTCCACCATTACCTCCTAACGCTTATCAGTCAGTAGAGACACAATGATGTATGAAGATGCTGCTTAAATTCATTTATCATCTTCTCTGGCCTACATATTAAAGTTGAAGCATTTTTGCAATTTCAGAATGCAAATTCCTCTTTCTACAGTCTATTCCACCCAGATTCTTCTCCTATTTTTAGGCTTACAGTTGATATTCAGTTATAAGAAAACATTTGCTACTCTCACTCAACTTATACTTCCAGGGCTTTTTGTTTACTTTCCTCTGCAACTAGAATATCCTCCCATTCATTTTTTTTGTCTCGTCAATTTCTATCCCATAAAAGAAATTCTTGGCTACCTAAAGAACATTCCTGAGCCTTCCTAACTAAAATCTTCTTTTTGTCATCCCAATGTGATCTGGGCACACCTCACTCATAGTGTTTATGATACTAGAATGAAAGGATTAAGTAGTGGGTCTGTGTTCCATAAAAATTGAAGTTGTTTCCATGTTGTGTTATTAGTACCTACTGGGACCTTGGCAGGCTTAGATTTACTGAACAGAATGAAACTTTAGGTAAAGTCAACTGCTAATACTATTTTTGATGACAAAGAACTTAAGCCATTTCAGAAGGAATATGAAACCGAACAGAAGTAAAAAAAAAAAATACAAATTGGTTGATAATAAAATATTCAGCCACTTGAGTAAAGTGAATTTAATCTTTTCATTTTTTTATTGGTTTGCCTCAAGAAAACATCTGTGTTTAAATGTAGCTCAGGAGCATTCTTGTGGCATGCTGGCTCACTGCCTGGAACTATTTCAGCACGCATATACCAAGATACTGAATGTTCAAGCAGTAAACCAACTGATGGGTCTCAAGTCATGATTAAAATAGTGTGTTTCCACATTCAAATTCCGTAATCACAATGGTCACAAATAATGTGCTTTGGGTCAATTGCTCAAATCAAGCAGCACATTTCTATTGTTCTATATCCCAAATCCTTCATCATTTCATATTTTTTTAAGGATATTGAGACTATAAATAGAAATGTTATAAATGTTATATTAATGCAGAAGACCGATTTGTATGCATAAAGTAAATAAAATAGATGGATTACTTTTTGCATTTATTACCCAGAGAAAATTCTCTGTCCTGCATTCTAGGCCACTCTCAGGGATTAGTACTTGGAGTTCAGCACATCCGCACTGCTGCATTTTCTCTTTCTCCCATTCTAATAAAAGAATGGCTTCCGGATAATTTTTAAAGGAAGCAACCTAAGACACAAGATAGAATTCTAATTTCTTATTAATCACAGAGTTAGAATTACTCATGATTTAACTTTTGCTTTATACTCTGAATAAAGCTACTTTAGGAGACCTCCCTATAGAACATCATTGTTTTATAGTTCGGTTTTCAGTTCTTCAGAGAATTTCAATTATTAAACAGGGAGCATCTCAAAATTAAACATGGGTAAGCATAATCAAATCTGCCTGTACATCTTTCTTCTCTCTCTCTTTCAGAAGCATGTATTTTTTTCATATCCTTTTTATCTCATTTACTGAATCCAATGATAAAGACTTTACTTACTTGGTATTATGTGTATCAATGGTATGGAAGAGCTCATGTAATTCTTCTCCGCTCAGAACACCATCTGCAAAATATGCTTTGAATTCTTCAAAGGATAATTTTCCATCATCTGAAATGTAAGAACAAACAGAAAGAAGCAAGTTATTTCATCTTTGTTTTCATATCTTTTTTTCTTTTTAAAGACTTATTTATTTTTTCATATGGAACTGGGGTAAGGCCAGAAGCACAGAGGCGGTGAGAGGCTTCACCAGAGACAGATGGGCAGCAAAACAGGCAGATGGACAAGTACACTACTGGGAGCAGCAGCAGGCAGGTGATACAGGAGAGGTCTGCTGCACCATGTGGATCACCTCCAGGCCAGGGCTCAAACTCACACTAAAGCGGCTGCTGCTTGCTTGCAGTGCTGCACTTTAATTGGCTGCGCCACCAGGGAGGGCCTGTTTTCACATTTTTTCAGTTTTCAAAACTTTGTTCAAATGTACTCATAAGTTTGTGCATGAACATATATGCATTTAAAAACAAAGAATAATTCAATGTTAAAACAAACTGGTAACACTTTTTAGTACACAGACTGCAGATATGTATACCCTGATAAAATATTATAGATGGTTTGGGTAGCATTTATTTATATGGTAAATATTAACATTTAACAATGTAACTGGCTATACCCAATCAAGTAAAAGCCCCAGAAAGAGAAATTATTTAGATATTTTTCTTTCATATACAGGATTTAACAGGTTACAAGGTAAGTAGCAGATATCTAATAGTGTATATTGAGAGAACAGATGGTAAGAGGTGGGGTCTTATTACCGGTGAAACTGTACATTCCTTTACTCTTTAAACAAATAAATACTTTTCAAGCCAAGCACATTTTACTTATTGAGTGATATAGGAGTGAAATGCAGTCCTGGCATCTAATAGAAGACATGATTGTAAGTATGTTACACAGAGGAACAGAGTACATGCAACATACTTTGGAATGCATGTTAGTTTGGGTAATAAAAGATCTTTCCATTTGGGGGCATGAGTAGTTTGAATTGTCCTGAAGAACAGAAATACCTACATTAGCAGAGATAGAAGAAACGCATGAATAACAGTGAAAGTCATATGATGTTTGCAAGACACAGCAACAGAAATTCAGGTGGACTGAATGGAAATAAAGGAGAGAAAAGCATCCTTAGAGCTGGCTTTTCAGGTCTCTCAAGGAAGTCATCAAAGGACTCTAAGTGGAAGTGTGGTCCACTCCATTCACAAGGGGCAACCGAGTTCTGAAAGGGAACTTGCCTGAATCACAAAACTCCTATAAAGGGATCCTACCAACAACACTGTAGAATTTATCTTGGAGTAAAAGAAGGTATGATTTAATAATGATGAATCTTTAAGGTTTATTTAGAGTATTTATCTTCTCAAACATGGCCCAAATACCACCTTTAGGACAGCTAAAATACAGACTCCTAGGTCCTGCCTGAGTATCAGAAATTTATAAAAGTCTTGGAGGTAGGGGCAGACAAGAAATCTGGAATTTAAACAACATATGTGATGCCTTCTACTACACTTAGCATAAGGATAAAACAAGCTAATCACTGAATTACTTAGTCTGTTCAGATAAGGACTCAAAGTCTTTAACATTTCAAAAATTCTTATTGGCAAAATAAAAAGACTCCTGAGCATTTTAAAATTGCATTTCATTTTGTTTTTTAAATCAATAGAGGCATTAAACCAATTTTCCAGTCAGTCCTTGCCACAGTTTACTGAGCACATATAGCCTGGAGGCATAAAAATCTTGATCTGAATCAGACACAGGAAGTTTCTAGGCTCTAGTGGCCCCTTGGGCCAGCCTAGCTGTTCTACCTCAGTCATTGCAAACAGCACAGCAACCCAGAGAGAAACAAGGTTTAATTCACAAGTCTCAACAATCGTCTAATTTTGTGTCTCTACTTTTGGATGGGCTATTTTAGTGTCATGCTTCAAATGACCATTTCAAACTTAAGCTCTTTATAACCTGTTGTATATCCTAGACTTAGCATAGTTTCTAGACCTTGAATCTCCATATTTTGGTAAAAAAAACATATCAGTCTGGGAAATGACATCAACCAGAGGTAAGTATAAGAGAAAAAGGGAAAGGTTTTCATCTACTTTTAAAAAAGAATGAAAGAAAATAAAAACTGACATCAACCCACTGTTTCCATGTTAGTATTGTGACTGTAACAAATGTAATACATACATATTTATGGTGGAATATGTTTTTTTTGTTGTTGCTGAATACTTGATGGGCCTCAGGTGAGCTGAGTCACCCTGTGACAGAACTTCAGCGGCCATACACTGCGCGGACAGTGGGCGTCTGGAATACGGCTGTGCAATTTCAATGAGTAAGTTCACCAGTAGTACACATTCTATCACATAAAAGCATTGAATAACAAGCGTTTTTGATGAGTTTATATGGCTTTTAGCCTTGTTTTCTAATGCGCATTGGAAATAATGTAAAATACAAAGTGGAGGTACTGGATTACACCTTTGAGTTGTAGGACCAAAAGGATTTTCAATTGTATGTTTTTATTCCTGGAAGTTTTTAATTTAGGCCGCCCCAATTTTAAACAAGCAATTGTAAAACATTACTTTGGAATATTTCTAACCTTGATGCCTTAATAATAAATAAAAGTATTACCTTGGTTTAAAGGAGAGGGAGAAAAATATTCCTCTTTTACTTTGGTTCTGCACTGAAGAAGCAATTATAAATTTTTATTAAAATAATCGATTTCAACTCAATTTTCCTATTGAACTTTTATTTTGAAAAGGAATAGCACAGTTAAACCTGGATTTATACTGACTTGACTTACATAACAGCCAAATTCTGTAAAGTTTGATGCCTTGTGATAATGTATTAACTTTTGCCACCACAGGCTTTCAGCTTTTTCTTTTAAAATCACATGTTTTGTCTGAAATTGTTCTGAACAGAGCTGATCCCTTTCTGCTTTATTTTAAATCATACTGATCTTATACTTCAACTTCTAGTAATTTTTTTTTTTAAGATGGAAACAGCAGAATGCAATTGCTTAGGGCAAAATTATAAAGAAAATCTTGAGTGTTGAACATGGATTTGCCATCTACTAGTACCATCAAATATTTATCAAAATCCTCTTCTATGCCAAAATGGTTTTGTGGTTAAGCCTATAGATTATGGATTTTATAATTATGGCAGAGGATTTAACAAGTGACTAGGCAAATACAGTAAAGTAAGGGCCACCCCAGGGCATAGAGGGGACTATGAGAACATGTACAAAAGAAAACTAATACAGATGTAAAGAGACAGGGTAAAGGTCTTAAAAGTGACGTTTCACCTGGAACATAATTGAAGAATAGGGATCTGTGGGGTAAGATTCGTAAAGAGAGGGCCCTCCCTGGTGGCGCAACTGGTTAGGACACAGCATTGCAAGCTGGCCACAGCTGCTTCTGTGTGAGTTCAATCCCCAGCCCCAGAGGTGACCCACATGGCGCGGCAGACCTCTCCTGACCCACCCGCTGCTCCCCCTCAGAAGTGTACTTCATTCATCAGCCTGTTCTGTCCCTTACTCGGTTTCTGGTGAATCCTCTCACCACCCCTGCACCTCTACCCTTTCCCAGTTCTGTATGCATCAATAAATAAATCTTAAAAAAAAAAAAAAGATTTGTAAAGAGGAAAAGGCATTTTGAGCAGGAAGAACACCACTAAAGCTAGGAGGCATGAAGAAACAGGGAATGGGAACAGAAAGGAAAAATCAGTATCCTCAGGCAAAATGTATATATTGGAGGAGAACAGTGGTTACTCCAGAGGGTTAGAGTGTGAAATGGGAAGATGTTGTTCAAAGGGCACAATATTTAAGTTACAATGAGTAAATTCTGGAAAGCAAATGTATGACAATGTTTTATCATATATTGTGCTATATATTTGCAATCAGATAAGGGGAGATCCTGTGTTCTCACCACCAAATGAAAGGAAAGTAAATGATAACTATGTGAGGTGACTGGTATGTTAAGTTGCTCCCGGTGGTGAATACTTAAAACTCATCTTTGGCCCTCTTTGGTGGAACAGCAGGTTTAAAGCACAGCACTAAGAAGCTAAAGCCAATTCAGCATAAGTTTGATCCCCAGCCATAGAGGTGACCCACATGGCACTGCAGACCTCTCCTGACCTGCTCACTGCTCCCCTCAGCAGTGTACTTCCACGATCAACTGTTCTGCTCCCCACCCTGTCTCTGGTGAATCCTCTCACCACCCCTACACCTCTGGCCTTTGCCTCAGTTCTGTATGCATAAACAAATAAATCTTTAAAAAGAGCACATCTTTACATGAACTTATCAAATTGTATACCTTAAATATATACAATTGTCAACTATATTTCAATAAAGTTGAATAAAAGAGTCTATGATGGGGGAAGAAGGAAAAGTGAGAGAATTAGATAAAAAGAGTCACCTTCATGAGACATCATGAAGTTTTATATGAGTTTAATTTACTTCAAGAACACTCAGGAGACATTTGTTGGAGAGCTAAGTGGAAAGGTGACCAACAGCTGGAAAACATTTAGCAAGGTAGCTAGTACATAGAAGAGTTCGACAATGGTAAAGGTAAGTTGGTAAAGATGGATACGCTAGTTCAGTCTTACTAAATGAACAGCATTGATGTGTTTTTAATTCCAATTTTCCATTCTTCCTTACACTTATTCTTCTACGTACATACAAAATGGGAATTTAATATGATTGCTTAAAAATAAAAATTTTTATTTCTTTAGGTCGTCAGGTTTTGTACAGTCAACACCTTGTAGTTTTTTTTTTTTTTTTGGAAAAGCCTCTTTATACTCTTTCAATTTTCCTCCAAGTTTCACTTGCCCATATCTTCTACTACAATTTTAATCTAGTTTTTGTGAGCTTCAAAAATGATTGTTTTCAAAAGATAGACTTTCCTTTCATGTATTAATTTAACATTGTTGAATGGTTTAAATACTGTAGTTTACCAAGATTAAACATGATCATCTTCCATCTAAACAACAGCAATCTGGTACATAATGAACACCTGGAAAGCATCACTGAGTTTAATCCACAAATAGCAGCATATGCTGTGCATACACACAGCAGT